AAGTGTCGTTCGCGTTCGACGTTAAATGCTGAAGCACCGCGTCTTGCACCTCTGGCGTGTAGCGCTTCTCTTGGGCTAGGCGACACACTTTCTGCTGGATAAACACCTCTACTGCTGCAGCCACTGACTCGGCGTTCAGCTCAAGGCTGAGCCTCATTCTGTGCTCAGCACGCTCCAGTTCTTCCTCAATATCTGGCCAGTTGCGACTGGACACAATCCACTTAACGCGAGGGGACGTAGACGACTGCTTCACGATAAAGCTAAGTAACTTTGGTAAGTCTGTTGCGCATTCGTCGAGCGCGTCAACAATTAGATACGTTGTGCCTAGGCCTGCATCTTGCAGCACGTCAGCGAAGATTTCTGTCAGGGCGACCCAGGCGTTCGCGTCCTCGAACAAGCTTTTGCCTGCGTGGTCGTGCTTCTTGCGGACGTGCGATGCAAGCGACGGCTGCCGGTGCACAAGCATGTACAGCAAGCCCCGNAGCACAGCTGTGGCACTATTAATGCGCGTGTCGGTCGCCTGGCAGAAAAAGTATGATATAAGGGTAGGTTTCGGCGTCAAGTTTTGCAGTTCGTCGATAATNCCACACAGCAGCATCGTCTTGCCTTTGCCAGGATCGCCTTTCACCCACAGTATTCGGTTCTCTAGGTCTTGCTGCCACTGCTGGAAGGTGTCGTTGTCAAGGACCCAGCGGTAAGCGTCTGTAAGCAACCCGCCTTTAGTCTCTTCGATCCGCTTCTTATCATCGCGCGAGTTACTAGGACACAAGTCTTGCATGCACTTATTCTGCTTGTCAACCTTGTATAGAACCCGCTTCATTGCTTCAGCTAGATTCTCGCCATCGATCGGGGACAAGCTGACGCCAAGGATACCCATCAGGGAGTATGCACGGTCTGCTGGGATTGTTGTAGTGCGATGTTCAATCCAGGTAACGCGTTCATCAACACTAAAGTTAGACAACAGTTCACCCTGCAGCGCTAGACTAGGGATGCCCGTAACTTCACACACTTCTTTTGCTAGCGATAATTTATCACCAAGCTTAGTCCCTTCTTTAGAGAAGAACTCTACTATAGACGGTGCGAGAAGCTCTTGCAGTGTCCATCCACGGATAAACCATCTGCTATTTTTAAGCGTGAACTCAGCCTTCTGCTCGCTTCGCACAGGATCGCTACCGACCGAAGTGCATAGAACGTTGCGCGAATAGAAGTAGCGCTGTATCGTGCTGCCGTACCATCTCGACATAGTATAGAGAATAGAGAGCATCCAGATCCACAAAAGCCATCGTAAATCGTGGTCGCCTGACGTCACTGGTAGAGGTTGATCAGAGACATCCGATAGATANACATAACACCGAGCTGCATCGCGGTACCAGCGAAACATCGATCGGATGGAGAAGGCAAGTTCAGCCTTGTTGGCCTTGTCGATGCAGCACGTGTCGATCCAGAAGTACTGAAGGTTGTCGCGCCGTGCCTGTTCTCCGCAGAAGATGATCTTCTTATAGCCCGGCTTTGTCTTGCCGCCGCCTGTCTGGAGGTCTGCAAAGGTCACCTCGTCGCCATCTGCGCCCCAGGTGTGTGAGAGTATCGCGTAAGGGGGTATATCACCATCGTCGAAGCTGTGGATGCTGAGCTCTCCGCTTTCGCTGTACTGTAAGAGCCGCATAGGTTCGCGTGGGTGTATAGTAGGTATATGCGATGAGAACAGGATTCGAAGGGCTGGACTCAGTAGCCTAGTGGTGTGGGCGCTTGCTTGCTAGTTGCTTTCCTGCTACCGATGGATGGTCAGCATACAGAGAGAANGACGAGCAGGTGCACCAGCTTAGATACCAACAGGACCCTGTGATGCGTCAAGATGTCGCGAGCTGAGGCTGCCGGCTCTCGCTGTATTCTTGGCTTGGTGGTGAAGCCTATGTGAAGCCCCAGGCGGGGTAAGGCGTGCTATGCATGCGCCGTGTACTGCTGGCAAGGCTGAAGCGCATCTGCATCGAAAGCTGCAGAGGAGCTGAGGCCCTTGGCGCTACAGTCGCTCTCCATGCAGATACCGGCGCATGCGTTAGCTCAGGCGCATCGATCCGCTGCGCTACTGTGGGCTTTGGCGACCGCAGGACCGTTGATCCTTCTAGCGCGTCGCTTTTAAGAAGCCAACAGAATCCACAACCAGTCTGCTTCTAAGAATAGCTGGCAGCTGCGCGCTTGAGCAGCACCCGATGGAAGCTTCTAGAACTGCGCCACAGCTTTAGCTCTTTTGGCATAGCGCAGGTGTACATCGTAGGCCGCTAAACGTTTGCAATCCTGCTTTGTCAGTGTTCCAAGTCCTCTCGCTAAACGTGAAGGACTAGCACACTGAGCCGGACAAACTCGGAGTATACCTAAATAGAGGCTGCACGTCTTCATATTATGGATACAGGCTCTACAGCCTGCTGTAAACTAAATAGGACTTCCGGATAAGCTAGCTATGCTTGTATGGAGTATAGAACAGGGGTTTAGCGTTATTGCCGCTTCCTCGCTCAACACGAAAGATTCATTCGCGCACCCAAGATTGCCGTAATTTTACTATTTCAGGCTTATGATAGACAGAGATAGATCTAAAGAGTATATAAATATATACTTGAATCCAAGAGTCTCTGCGGCTTCGGCATAAGGTGCTTGGGCAATGTTGGTGGTTCGTTGCGGAGGGATGTTCGACCCACAGGGACGGACGTTATCCCAATTAACAGTAGTGCTATTAATTGCTGTTTGCCTGTTTCTCTGCTAGTTTTGTATCTACATGCAAGGTGCTACAGACGGCGCATGCTCAGGCGTTGTGGAGTTGGTAAGACATCGTACTACAATGTCCAGCGTCTTACTATCAACAAGCAATTGCTCTACATCACTCGATCCTCCAGAGATCATTATCAAATCTACTGCAATTCCATCTACACCCATACATTGCCTGGATCTCCCATTGTTAGAAAAGTTAAGAACATAAACTAATTAGGGATGGAGATGTTACCACTCTATAGCCGCAGCCCCATTTGGGACACTTCCAGGGATGCGGAACTTTGCTGACTGATTCCCTGCACAGTTCTTTGGATTCGCAATAGCAGAAATTGGTAAGAATGTCGCATTGTCGAAGGTCAAAGTGGCCTGGCAGGTAGTGTTGCGGATGTTGACTAGCCTGCGTGTGGTCAAAGCTGTAGTGTAGCAGAATAATGATAAGACTCACTGGTAGTAAAGCTCTTCCTCAGCGCTTAATTGAACTACTGGACCCGTGAGGACTGGTAGTATCTGATTGAATGGAACAACTTGGGCGAGCGAAACCGTCCAGAAGAACGATAGGAATAGCATGATTCGAAACGAACAATAGCGTTAGAGATAATCGTGTGACAAAAGAACCATGTTAAGTCGATATTTAAGAATAAATAGAAAATTTGCTGTCAAGTACCGACAGCATGGAATTGTTACTGGAACCAGTTTATGGTGCCTTGAATCGGGTATCCGTATACGCAAACACGGCCCAATCCCATTCGAAGACACTTGGACTCATCTTACCATATTAATTATTGTACTTGCTGGAGTAGTATTCACAGGAATGCACACATGATGGAGCCGTACTATCCAAGATACCCAGAGTATATACCCCACACCGAACTTTCTATCCGATTCTCGGTTCCAGATGCGCGAGTTATCAAGCGCCTTCTTGCACATTGCGAGGAGGAAGAAAACCTAAGATTCAAAGCTGCTGGGAATACCCTCTATCCCCACGTTAAGACTTTGTCTCGTTTGTTGTCGCGACACAGGATTCAAGTCGAACGTACAACTGCAAACGAGCTAGGGGTTACCTTATTCTTACCACCTCCGCCTTGCCAGGAGCCAAAGCATAAAATTATAGCCCGCCTTAGAAGAAAGTTTCTAAAGAATGTGCGTTCTGGCTACCGGGATGTGAATGAGGAGTTCACAACCCAGCCTACACAGTCGCGAAGCCCTAAGTGGGTTGTTTTGTCCTATTATTATTATTATTCCATTATAGTCCTGTATCAGCCGTTGGCTATGTAAGACTTTTGGCCAAAGGCCGTTCTATCTAACTAGTTACAATTTGGTACTTTGTGCTGTGTTGCGTGACTATGGTGCTTCGGCCTTTCTCTAGCTAAGCTATAATTAGCTTTGTA